CGGATCGAGACATCCTGGGCTAACACGGTGGAACCCCGTTCTACTAAAAAATCAAAATCTAGCCGGCGAGGGTGCGCGCTGTGTAGGTCACTACTCGGGGAGGCTGATGGCAGGAGAATGGCGGGAACCCGGGAGGGGCTTGCAGTTGAGTTGCAGTCGTGTAATCTCAGCTCACTCAACCTCTGCCTCCCAGGTTCAAGCGATCCTCCTGCCTCAGCATCCTGAGTAACTGGGATTACAGGTGTGCACCACGCCAGGCTGATTTTTATATTTTTAGTAGAGATGGGGTTTCGCCATGTTGGCCAGGCTGGTCTCAAACTCCTGACCTCAGGTGATCCGCCTGTCTTGGACTCCCAAAGTGCTGCTGGGATTACAGGGATGAGCCACTGTGCCTGGCTGTATGCTAATTTAAAAAACTTTTATACAGGTGGGGTGTCACTATATTCCCCAGGCTGGTTTCAAACTCCTGGGCTCAATTGATCTTCCTGCCTCAGCTTCCCAAAGTGCTGGGATTACAGGTGTGAGCCACTGTGCTTGGCCTCAAGCTATCCTCTTGTCTCAGTCTCCCAAGTAGCTGGGGCTACAGGTGTATGCCACCATGCCCAGCTATTATTATTATTATTATTTTTGTAGAGATGGGGTCTTGCTATGTTGTCCAGGTTGGTCTCAAATTCCTGGCCTCAAATAATCCTCCCACCTTGGCCTCTTGAGTAGCTGGGACTACAGGCACATACCACCATAGCCAGCCTCAGTATATATTTATTTTTATTTATTTGTTTTGAGACAGAGTCTCACCCTGTTGCCCAGGCTGGAGTGCAGTGAGCGATCTCAGCTCACTGCAAGCTCTCCCTCCCGGGTTCACGCCATTCTCCTGCCTCAGCCTCCCGAATAGCTGGGACTACAGGCGCCCGCCACCAGGCCCAGCTAATTTTTTGTATTTTTAGTAGGGATGGGGTTTCACCATGTTAGCCAAGATGGTCTCGATCTCCTGACCTCGTGATCCGCCCGCCTTGGCTTTCCAAAGTGCTGGGATTACAGGCGTGAGCCACCACGCCTGGCCCTCAGTATGTATTTAAATGGAGTCTTGCTCTGTCACCCAGGCTGGAGTGCAGTGGCACGATCTCAGCTCACTGTAACCTCCGCATCCCAGGCTCAAGCAAGTCTCTGGCCTCAGCCTCCGGAGTGGCTGAGACTACAGGTGCACTCCACCATACCCAGCTAGCTAACTTTTTGTATTTTCAGTAGAGACAAGGTTTCACCATGTTGACTTCAAGTGATCTGCCTACCTCGGCCTCCCAAAGTGCTACGATTACAGGCATGAGCCACTGTGCCTGGCCCTCAGTATATTTTTGAAAGAATAAATTAGTTCCTATCCCTTTCATTGACTGAACTCTTCTCATCTTCAAAGACTTCCCTCCCTGACTCTCTGTTTCCTAGGACAAGGTCAGGTATGGTTACCCACTTTGAGATGTACTTTCCTTTTTTGTGCCATGTCCCTGGAGCTGTGCTTGGTGCTAATAATAGCAGCTGAAGACATTCCCTGAGCAAGGTTGGATGGGACATGGTGCGGGAGGTGAGGAAGGGGCGTTCCGAGCCCTGGCTCAGGTGTCTCCGCCGTTTGTTCAGTCAGGGAGGCTCCTTACCCTCTCTGAGTCTCCTCATCCTTTTCTACAGGATGGGGATAATCTCAAAACCCACTCCACAGGGCCGTGGTGGGGACACAGCAGTGCGATGGTCTGTTTATGCGCCAACCTGGCTGGGCTACAGACCCCAGCTGCTCAATCAAACACCGAGACATGTCACTGAGGAAGGATTTTGTAGCTGTGACTGACGTCTCTAATCAGTTGACTGTGTTGTATATATTTAAGGTATACAACGTGATCTTTTGATAGATATATACATAGTGAGATGATTACTACCGTCAAGCATATTAACATATCCGTCACGTCTTGTAGTTACCTGTTTGTTGTTGTTGTTGTTCTAATCAGTTGACTTTAACTGAAGGAGATTAGTCTCAATAATGTAGGTGGGTCTGATGCAATCAGTTGAAAGGCCTTAAAAGCAGAATGGGGGTTTCCTGGGAATAGAAAGAGTTTCGCTTCAGCTGCTGCTGGAGTTTCCAGCCTGCCTCTCCCGCCTGCCTGCCCTATAGACTTCAGACCTGCTGTCTTACTCGGTGTGGACTGGTGCAACAAAATGCCACAGACTGGGTGGTTTATAAATACAAGACATTCATTTCTCACAGTCTGGGGAGCTGGGAAGTCCAAGATCCAGGCACTGGTATGTTCTGTGTCTGGTGAGGGCCGGCATCCTGGTTCTTAGACGGTGCTTTATGCTATGTCCTCACACGGTAGAAGAGGAAATGTCTGACCTCTTAGGTCTTGTTGTTGTTGTTTTGTTTTTGAGGCAGGGTTTGGCTGTGTTGCCCAGGTTGGAGTACAGTGGTGCAGCCTCCACTGCCCAGGCTCAAGCGATCCTCCTGCCTCGTCCTCCGAGTAGCTGGGACCACAGGCGTGTGCCACCATGTCTGGCTAATTTTTGTAGTTTTAGTAGAGATGGGGTTTCACCATATTGCCCATGTTGGTCTCAAACTCCTGAGCTAAAGTGATCCTCCTGCCTCAACCTCCCAAAGTGCTGGGATGACAGGCATGAGCCACCGTGCCCAGCCATCCTAGGCCTCTTATAAGGGCATGAATCCCATTCATGAAGGTTCCACCTACATAACCTAATCACATCCCAAAAAGGCCTTAAGAGCAGAATGGAGGTTTCCCAGAAGAAATAAGAAGTCTTGGACTTCCCAGCTCCCCAAACTGTGAGAATTGAATTTCTTGTGTTTATAAGCTATGGTATGTTGTTGTGGTAGTCCACACCGAGGCCTCCAGATCCCATCACAGTGGGGATTAAGTTTCAACATAAAAATGTTGGGAAGACACAGACATCCAGTCCATAGCACCTGCCTAACCAGCTCTCAGAATCACATAACCCACTTCCACGCCATAAGCCTTTGTATAAGGATCAGCTACTCATTCTGTTTCCCTGATGGAACCCTGATGGATACAAACAGGAGGACCCATGTAATGTGCTTAGAACATGGCCTGGCACACACACAGGCTGCCATCACCATGCCCTTAACCCCGAGCTGGTTACCGAATAAACATTAACTCATCTGTGCCTCACAGTGGTCCACGGTATGTTATACCCCCATTTTGCAGATGAAAGCTGGGGTTAGGGAACATGGGAGTGGCCCACACTCAGGGCCAGAGCTGGGATCTAAACACAGGTGGCTCAGCTCCATTGTCCAGGGGGCCACCACAGAAGTTCATGATCCCATGGCCCCCATCCTCTGCAGTGTCCCGCGGTTGGGGTGATCCCCACCTGGGAGAGGAAGGGATGGTGGCAGCCCTATCCACAGCCATTCTCCAAACCTAGCAGGGTACAGGGCACACAGAGAGTTAACCATCTGTGCATGGAATTGAGAGAGAGGGAGAAACAGAGACAGAGAGACTAGACTTTGAGGGTCAATGGGAGGGAGAGCCTAGACCTGCTCCTTGAGCCAGCAAAGCCTGGAGTGGCTGCCCCAGGCAGCCCCAGACGGTTCCCTTCCACAGTCTGCACTCTGGAATGGGGAGAAGAGAGCCTGATGTGATCCTGATGGGCCTTGCTCCTAGGAGCAGGCAGGAGAGGGCAGGAGCACCTCAGATCTGGCTTTGTCCCCAGGTTGTGAGATTCTGGAAGGACCCTCCCCTTTCTGAACTTCAACTTCTTTGTGGGTTAAGGGCAGGGGGATAGCGTCTGCCTCAGAAGGTAGGAATGTAACCTTAGGCAGGTTTCTCAGCCTCTCTGGGCCTCAGTTTCCTCCTCTGTAAAATGGGCATGGTAATGGGACCAATTCCACAGGGTCTTTGGCTTAGGTGAATGAAGGCCTGTGAGGGCTTGGGCTACCCTCAGTCCTCAGTCCACCCTCGGGGAAAGAGTTCAGCCCCATATCCACTTCTTGGGAGATGATTCCACTTTCCAATCTCACCTTTATCTGTGGAGCGGCTGGGTCCCTGCTGCACTCACCCCTCAGCCCACCCAGAGGGATGCCACAATTTTCCTGGTCAGCCTTAGTCCCCACGACCCTTCAAAGGTGGGGCATCAGGACTGAAGTCAAACTCAGGAACGTTGTCACCACTGTGCGTGTCCTTCAGAGAGGAGGGGAAGCGGACCCCCATCAGTATCAGCTCCTCCCTCACTTCTGAGGGTGAGCAAGGCCTGTTTGCAAGGAGCTTCACCCAGGCCCAGCCTGTGGTCCCTTGCCTGGCTCAGTTCTCACAGTCATCCGCCTCCTGCCCTAGAAATGCTGCTTGCTCTGCCCTTGCTGGAGTGCTCTGACCCCCAGCGCCATGCCTCCTGCCTTCAATCTTGCAGCTTTCTGTGCCTGGCGGTGCCATCACCTCTCCCTGCATGCCTGCGGGGCTCAGGTAGCAACACTCAGCTCCCCAAGCGGGGTCAAGCCCTCCCTCCCTCAATGCCAGCTCCTCCTCCCCTCCCCTCTCCCCATGCTTCTTGGGACACAGCCCTGGCCCTGCTTTAAGGGGTGTAGCAACCTGGAGGTCCTTATGGGTAGGACCTGGGTCTGACTCCTCTTTGTCCCCAGCCCAGCGCCTGGCACATGGGAGGCCTCCGGGGATTTGTGGCCACGTGAGTGAACACCTGGAATGTTTTTCTCTACCTAGAAACCCCTCCTTACTCTTCCACACCCAAGCTTCCTCCCAGAACCTAGGGATTCTGGTTGCCCTGGGCAAAGCGTCTGCGTTCTGAATAGCCTCGCCTGCTGTGGGCAGGAAGTGTGTTCAGGGAGCGGAGTCCCCTCCACATCTCTGCCTCTGATCCGAGTTTGCAAACGGGAGGCCTCATCTGGGCTTTTCTTTGACCCACGGCGGCGCTGCCTTTTAAAAACATGTTCTCAATTGCTGATGTGCTGGAATCAAGACATTTCACACTGAAATCGAGATCTCTGGATTCTCCTCAAAAAACAAACAAACAAAAAAATATGAAGAGCTGTAGTCACCCCGTGTTCCTGACCTGTGGGGAGCGGGTAGGGAGGAGTTGGAGAGAGTTCCGCCACTGTGAGCCGCCGCGGTTCCGCCATGGTGAGCCGCCGCCTTCAGAGGGGCAGTTGCTTTCAAGGCAGACGACGAGGCCCCCATTAGGCCAACTGTGCCCCTCTTGTTCCCTGCCTGGTGGCTGTGAGCATTTGAGTTTGCAACCTCTGCACTAGAGTCTCATAAAGTCAGGAGAAAATGTCCAGGACAGGGTCAGCTGCTGCAGTGGGGGGCAAGGGTCCCGGGTTCAGGAGTCCTGAGCAGCGCGCAGCCTTGCGGTGTGGCCCGAGGCACGGTGAGCCTCAGTTTCTCTGTCTGCATGCAGATGTGCCGAGGCTGGGGCCTCATGGTTCCCAGTGCCCCTGTGGATGTGTTTTTGGGGGTTCCTTAGGGTTTCAAGCCACCTTCCCATGGTGCTGAGCATGCTTCAGTTTCTCTCTCTGAAGAAGGCTGAGGCTGGGTTGGATCCACTCTGGGCTCACAACGGCCCCTGTGGGCGGCAGCAGCCTGTTTCCTGGTGCTGATGCCTGGCGTGTCCCTGTGTGTTTTGTTTCTGCTCCTGTCAGCCTGGCTGCTGGGGTGGCGTGTCCCTCGGGCAGGTGTCAGGTGTTAGGCATGTTCCCTACATTGGCTAACACGAGGGCTGGCGCTGGGGAGGCCCCGGGGCATGTTCCCCGAGGAAATGGGAGGAAATGGGTGAGAACCGGGCGTCGGCCTCCGGGTCTGGAGTCTGGGACGGAGTCACTGCTGGCATCGGCAGGTCTGCGCAGCTCTGCCTGGGCCAGGTTTCCACGTCCCGGGCCGAGTGCCGTGATCCGTCTCGGAGTCTACATTCTTCCGTCTCTCCAGATCCCTAGACTTCGGGAGAACCAGACTCGGCTGCTCCGCTGCCTCCGGCAAGCCCAGTCCCCTCTCTGAGTACCCAACACCGGGGAATCCAAGCAGCCTCTTTAAGCCTCTGTTGTGGCTTAAAGTGTGAATCCACCCCACCCCCCATCATTCATATGTTGACATCCTAACCCCCAGTGACTCAGAATGTGACTGTATTGGAGACAGGGTCTTCACATAGGTGATTAAGGTTAAATGACATCACATGGTGGGCCTGAGTTCAATGACTGGTGCCCTTACAAGGGAAAGAAATTAGGACCCAGGCACACACAGAGGGACGACCCTGTGGGGACACAGGGAGAAGACGGCATCTGCGGGCCAAGGAGAGAGGCCTCAGAAGGAAGCTTGGCTGTTGGCACCTTGACCTGGGAGTTCCAGCCTCCAGAGGGGGAGAAAATCAATATCTGCTGTTCAAGCCAGCCAGTCTGTGGCACTTTGTTTTGGCAAATGTAGCATCTGGTGTGGGGGGGTGAGGCAGCCTGGGACTCTCTGTCCTGAACAAGTGCCTCCCGGTGGTTCTGCCAGGTGATGGGTTTGGGGACCCTGGCCTGCGGCCCTGTTGTTTGACGACCTGCCTGTGACTGTCCCAGGGACTTACCTCCAGGCCGGTCTGGTGGGATGTCAGCTTCAGGCACTCTGGCTACTTCTGGTTCCTCCAGCAGCTCTGGTTTCTTAAGGGTCAGGCCTTCTTTGGTCTTGGGACTCTGATGTTCCTCCCACCAGTTAAGCATCTTCATTCTAAGGCAGGAAGCCCCGTGGTGAATGCTGTGCTCAGTCCCTGCCCCGTCCAGCTCCCAGAAGGAGCCCTGGGCTGGGCCCAGAACACCAGCTTCCTCCGATTGCCGGTTCTGTGACCAGCGCAGCCCCACCCCACCCCATCAAGTGGGGATAAGAACCTCTATTCTCTTGGTGTGGACCCTCTCCCAAGCCTCTTTCTGGGCCTCCTGGAATTCACTCTGTCCCCCAGAGCTGCCCAGCTCCTCCCCTGCTCACAGACCTCCCATGGCTCCCCAGTTCCCCCAGGACACAGCCCAGCCCTTCAGCCTGGTGGCCCTTCATGTCTGGTCCATTCCTGCTTCTCTTGCTGCCCTGTGATGTCTCCATATACACTTTTTAGTTTCGGACAGGTCTTTTTTTTGCACCTTTCTTCCTCCTCCTAATATTTCTGGCTCATGTCTGCATGTCCGTGCCCGGCACGCCGCCTTGGTCTTTCTGACAGCTGTGTTGTTCTGCTGTGTGGATGTCCCATGGATTATACAACTGGTCCCCTTCCTTTCTTGCTCTGGCAGCTTCAGGGGACGCCTGCTGGTCCCTGGCTGGCGGCTCTGTCTTTCTGCCCCACGTCCCCTGCAGAGCAGCCTGAGTGAACTTTAAAGACCAGATCTGTTCCTCCCCAGATGGAGATCCTTCCATTGTTTCTTTCTGCATTCAGACAATAAGATTCAAACGTCCATTTCCTGTCTGAAAACACTCGCTCTACAAAAACATCCGAAAATACCGATGGGGCTAAGGTTGTAAGGACGTCGGGGACAGAAGATCAGAGGCCACGCATCAACTGAGGGTTGGCTGCACACCGCTGGGTCGCGGGGTAGGGGGGCTCGCTGTTATAATAACCAAGGGACTTGGTTTAAATGGTCCGGTGACAGCAGACAACAAGGCCTTGGGTCCATACTAGGTAGGGACCTGGATATGACACCCCCACATCAACGGGGCACTAAAAAAAAAAAATCTAGTCATTGGTCAAGGCAATGACAAGGAAGCATGTCTATTTCAGCCTGGGCTTTGAGTTGTAAAAAACCTTTTTTTTATTTCTCTTAGAAGCTGAGGCCTCCATTTACAGAGATTTGCATCAGAGAGCAACAAAGTGAGCAATGAACACAAATAGCGCCCAGTTTGTTACGCTGTTGGGCAACTCACACAAAACTCATTTTGGAGGGACTCGCCCACCACATTGTCCACATAGGATTTTCGCAGGTAAAGTACCCACTGAAGAGCAGTTCACCTTCCAGGATGACCAAGCATGAGAGGAAACAGCCCTCCACAAGGAAGATGAAGCCCAAACTTCTCACCAGAGCCCTTGAGGCTCTGCCCACAGGTTGGCCTCTCTCAAGCTCTCCCTAAGCCCTCAGCTCATCCGGCCCTGCTGGACTCTTGGACTCCTAAACCTCTGAAGTCTCAGCCTAGAACTGCGGCTCCCTCGGTCTGCGCATACTCCTTTAGGTCTCAGAGCAAGTACCTAACGGCTGCTTCGCATCCCTTCCCCTTGCCAAACTCTCTCCCAGCTCCCCGTTTTCCTCCAGGCACTTCCCAACATTTATCCCTACACATCTGTATATGTCCTCCTTCGGTGTCCACCTCCCTGAGGCCTGGTTTGCTCTACGATATTGTCAGAGGTATGTGAACCAGAGCAACTCCATCTTGAATAGCAGCTGGGTAAAACAAGGCTGAGACCTACTCGGCTGCATTCCCAGACAGTGAAGGCATTCTAAGTCACAGGATGAGACAGGAGGTCAGCACAAAATAGAGGTCATAAAGACCTTGCTAATAAAACAGGTTGCAGTAAAGAAGTCAGCCAAAACCCACCCAAACCAAGATGGTGACGAGAGTGACTTCTGGTCATCCTCACTGCTACACTCCCACCAGCACCATGGCAGGTTACAGATGTCATGGCAACAACAGGAAGTTACCGTATATGGTCTAAAAAGGGGAGGCATGAATAATCCACCCCTTGTTTAGCATGTCATCAAGAAATAACCATGAAAACGGGCAACCGGCAGGCCTCGGGGTTGCTCTGTCTATGGAGTAGTCATTCTTTTATTCCTTTACTTTCCTAATAAACTTGCTTTCACTTTACGGACTCGCCCTGAATTCCTTCTCGTGCGAGATCTAAGAACTCTCTCTTGGGGTCTGGATCCGGACCCCTTTCCTATAACAGTATGACCTGGCATGTAGAATTTGCTCAGTAAATTTCTGTTGAGTTAATGTGTGGAGAAAGGCTTTGCATCACACATCTCCGTTGCATTCGTGTGCAGCATGTGCACTGTTATAAAGGCCATTTGCATGTTTTGCATACTCTAAAAAATTATGAATGAGGCCAAAGTATACCAATCCAGACATGCAGGAAAATGGCAAAACATTGAAACAGCCTTGTGAGATGGTTTGAATTCAAGATTATTATTGCAACTTATTGTTTCTTTTCTTTTTTTGAGAGACAAGGTCCTACTGTGTCATCCAGGCTGAAGTGCAGTGGTGTGATCACAGCTCTTTGCAGCCTCTACCTCCTGGGCTCAAGCCATCTTCCCACCTCAGCCTCCTGAGCAGCTGGGACTATATGCATGTGCCACCGTGCTCAGCTAGTTTTTGTGGGTTTTTTTTGTAGAGATGGGGTCTCATTATGTTTCCCAGGCTGGTCTCAAACTCCTGGGCTCAAGCGATCCTCCTGCCTTGGGCTCCCAAAGTGCTAGGAATACAGGCATGAGTCAATGCATTTAGCCTCATTTTTTTTTTTTTTTTTTTCAGATAGAGTCTTGCTCTGTTGCCCAGGCTGGAGTGCAGTGGCACAATCTTGGCTCACTTCAACTTCCACCTCCCGGGTTCAAGCGATTCTCCTGTCCCAGGCTACTAAGTAGCTGGGATTACAGGCACATGCCACCACGCCTGGCTAATTTTTGTATTTTTAGTAGAGACGGGGTTTCACCATGTTGGCCAAGATGGTCTCGAACTCTTGACCTCACGATTTGCCCGCCTCGGCCTCCCAAAGTGTTGGGATTACAGGCGTGAGCCACCGTGTCCGGCCACCATTTTGTTTTATTGTAGGTTTTCCTCCCATTCACAACCCGCTCCTATGCTTGTACTGGATTTGCTTGGACACACTGTGACTCTCCTCCTGCTCTCCCAAGGCCCCCAATGTCTGCCTCCTGAGGCAACTTGGCACAGCTCAGCTCCAGAGCCACCAGCCTGCCTGCAGGGGACACCTCCACACCTGTGGCCCAATCTACCTTCCCCATGCCTTCTGCTCAGCCCTCTGGCTGGGGCACCACCACCACACTCTCCTGTCCTGGACTCTCCACCCATCTTCTGCTGTGTTTGGTTCCTACCTCCTGCACCCCACTCTTCCCAGATCCCTTCCTTCTCCTTCCCCAGGACACCACCTCCGAAGCCTTCTCCCCATTGAGAGCGACCCTGCCTTTGGCCTGATTCTCCAGGAGGCCTGGAGCCCACATGTGTTCTTCTGTTTTAGAACCCTCATCCTCTGAAGAAAGAGTCTCCTTCTGCTACTTTGAGCCTCTGGCTATTGGGCCAGAACATTCCCTTCCTCTCCTCATTTCTGTCACTGGCAACTCCCTAGGCCAGGCCTCTGTATTCCCAGAGGATTTTTATGCTTGACTCTTGTCTTTTTGATCGTCACCAAATGCCTGGTTTGTGAGTGAAAGCATTTTGGACTCTCCATGCTAACCCAATTCAAGTGACCTCAAGTGACACCACAGGGAGCATCCAGCTGGGCCCTGCCCAAATTCCTAATCTAGGAAATCATGAAAAATACTAAAATGATTATTGTTTGAAGCCACTGTATTTTGGGGGATTGCTATGGTCTGAATGTTTACATCCTCCGCTCAAATTCACATGTTGAAATCCTAACCCTCAAGGTGACTGTATTTGGAGGTGGGGCCTTTGGGAGGTGATTAGTTCATGAGGATGGAACCCTCCTGAATGAGACAAGAGCCTTTATAAAAGAGACCTCAGCAAGACCCCCTAGTCCCTTCCACCAAGTGGGGACACCGTGAGAAGATGTCATCTATCAGGAAGAGAGCCCTCACCAGACACTGAACCTGCTGGTGCCCAGGCCTTGGACTTCCTAGCTTCCAGAACTGTGAGAAATAAATCTCTGTTGTGCACAAAACGCCCAATCTATGGCATTTTGTGGTAGCCGCCCAGATAGACTAAGACAGGGGTAGAGACATAGCAACAGATGATCAGAACTGTTACCTTTCTCTTTGAGCTGGTTGAGTTCAGCCCTTATAACTCACAACTGGAAGAGACCTGATGAATGCAACTGTTTCCTTTAACTACCAAGGGTTCATTATCTCCCAAAAACTTTTCCACTTATGAAAATGCAAATTCCAATACTTCATCATCTGCCTAGTTCTTCTATCCATCCAGTATTTTTGTGCTCCCCTTCCAACTGTTCCCATTATATGATATCACAGGTGGAAGCTCCAATCCCAAGACACTGTATTTTCTAGAGTCTATGGAGACTCTCTCAGTTTCTCTTCCATTCCTTCCCTCCCCACCCTACTAGGTACAATGGCTCCTCAGTTAAAGTGCTCTCACCTTCCAGCCTCCTCGCTTCCCCATCTCCCACCTCCCCACTCCATCACCCTTCCTAGCATGTTGTCCATGAATACTCAAACCTAGCCCAATGCCATCATCTACTCCTTGGTTTCTGCTATAGTCTGAATGTTTGTGTTCCTCCAAAATTCTTCTGTTGAAACAACATCTCCAGTGTTTTGGTATTTGGAGCTGGGGCCTTTGGGGAGTGATTAGGTCAGGAGTGTGTAGCCCTCATGAATAGGATTACAGTGCCCTTATAAAGGGACCCCAGATAACTCCCTTTCCCTGTATACCATGTGAGGACACAACCAGAAGGTGCCGTCTGTGAACCAGGAAGCAGGCCCTCACCAGACACCGAATCTTCTGGTGCCTTGATCCTGAACTTCCCAGCCTTCAGAACTGTGAAA